CTTTCCATTCATACAAGCCTTGGCGAGTCTTGAATGCTGTCTTCCATTCGTCTCCGGGATGGATACGAATTTGGTGATAGTCACTGCGTAAATCCAGCTTTGAGAAGATGACTGATCCGGCCAATTTTTCAAGTAACTCTTCTAGTCGCGGAATGGGAAAACGGAACTTTACCGTGATCTTATTGATGGCTCTACTATCCATGCACATGCGCCACGTTCCGTCTTTTTTGGTACTAAAAGTGCTGGCACCGCACATGGGATCAAACTGGGCTGAATCAATTGCTTCTTCACTAAATCATCCATGAGTTTTTGTAACGTCTGATGATCTTTCGGGCTTAGACGATAATGTGGCAGGTTAGGCAGGCAAGCTCCTGAAATGAAATCAACTTGATGCTGCAGAGCACGAAGTGGCGGGAGAGTATCTGGTAAGGAATCTGGCCCCAGATCCGGAAACTGCTTCAACAGTTTTTGCACTTCAGAGTGAATGCTACCCAATGGACCAGGAGGAACACTTTCTCTAATAACTAATGCAAAAAGCATGGAATTCTCTTTGCTGGCATGTAAAAGGGCTGAACCCGTAACCATGCGCATCACTGCCCGCTTATCCTTTGGAGCATCCTTACAATCAGTAGAGTATGGAATGAGTTTGAGCAGTTTACCCTTCCAATCAAAAGAATAGGAATTTGATCTGCCATCATACAGTGCCCCCACATCAAACTGCCATGGTCGGCCCAAAATTATATGGCACACATCCATATCTAGGACATCGCAAAGTACTTCGCATACATAGTATTTTCCTATTGAAAAAGTGACCCGACACATTTCAGAAACCAAAATATCCATTCCTTTTTTCACCCAACTTATCTTGTATAGGTGGGAGCTTTTTGTGGTATTGAGCTGAAGTGCGTGGACAACCGAACGCGCAATGACATTTTCGGTACATCCACTGTCAACGAGTAAATCACACACTTTTCCGTTGATAGTGCAACGTGTCTTGAAGACTGAGTTCCACTGTGAATTTTGTTGTTGTCGCGGTGCCAATAGAATTTTCTCCATAACACATACCAACGGCTCCCCCAAGTCTGGTGCGATTTCTTCTTCCAATTCCGGCTCCTGTTCTTCCACTTCTCCTGAAACATCTTCATTGTCGGTAGAAGTCAAATGAATTTGTGGACGGCTTGGGCACTCATTTGATTTGTGACCAATCTGAAAACACCTGAAACATTTGATCGTATTCAATTTAGCATAGGGGTTATCTCGGACAAGGGCTTTCCACCTCGATTGCACTTTCGGGTCTCCCGACGCCCCAAGCGAAGCATTCTGTGTAGCCAACGGATTGGTTGCTGTAGGATTTTATTGCTCCGCATACGTCCTGTTAGGAGTGGAATTGTTTTTAGTCATTTCTAGCGAATGCTCAAAGAACTGTCGCCGACCAGTAGGCTGTTTACTACATCTGGATAATTGGAGTTCAGCTTTTAATGCAAAGTTAACTGCCTGTGCGAGTGACCAGACATAGTTCATTTTGAGTTTATCCTGCATAGTTTCCTTGAGCCCTCCCATGTATCGTGCAACTAGATGATTGGCACTTTCATTGAGATCATTGCGAGCACACAGGAGGCGGAACTCCTCAGTATATTCACTAACAGTTCGATTCCCCTGGTGGCAATGCTGATACTTGTGGTATAAAATCTGCTCATAGTTTGTGGGCAAATACTGGGAACAGAGAAAATGCTTCATTCGTCGCCAGTTGCGTACTGATCCCCAACCTTCCCTCCTCCTTGACTGGAGGAGTTCCAACCACCAAGCACTTGCTCCCCCCTTTAGTCGGCATGACACGTACTTCACCTGTTTGTCCGGCGCAATATCCATATACTCGAAGGTCTCCACCGACCTCTCCCAATCTAGATAATCCTCGATATGTAGGCGTTCGTCAAAAAACTGAATATCAAGCTTTACTTGAAATTTGCCCTGTGAACGGCCCTGATACATGCCCCGACGGCGACGAACGTACTGAGCTGGCGCCCGATCATCATCCGACTCAGAGAGTAGATTGGCGTTAAACGGCTCTGGACCGTCATCATCAGAATCAGACTGTTCCGACATTGGAGGCGCACGCCTACGCTCCGGATTGCGCTCCCAATCGCGCCTTTCCTGAGCCATTGTGATCGGTGCATGTGTTCGACCTTGGCGACTTCCTTCCATCTCAGCTCGGATGGATTGAAACTCCCTGCGCATATCCATAGACAACCGAAACAAATCAGTGGAAAGATTATCTAACCTTTGATTAAGGGTGCTATGGAGTTCCCAAAGGGAATCAAGACTGCGAACTTCATTGTCGGTCCCTCGTCGACTACTTTCCGCCATTACCCCCAAGCGCCGGGCTCTGATACCAAATCAAATGTAGGGTATCAGTGGAGGAAAACCAGGAGGTAGCAAAACGAATGAAACAGTAACACAGTAGCAATTGGCTCTGTAAAAACATAAAATATATTGTCTGTTCTTCCAAATTCTTCCAATACAGCTATATAGGAATACTGCATAAACTATAAGCGGTCATAACTAACTGAAGTGAAAGCCGTATGACAGAGTACTAGAAACGGAAATGCTAAGTAGTGGAGCGTAACTAATAAAGCAGAAATGAAAATACTAGTGCTGTAGGAATAATATAAGGTAAAGGTGTTCCTTATCTGATGATGCTCTGCATCATCAACAAAGCAACTTTTTATTGTGTGCGTACATCGGACAGAGAGAACCATCAAGTTTTCTCTCTCTACAGTAAAAGCGTAGTCAAAACACAGTTGCTGTAGTAAGATTGCGCTTTTACTGTAGATAGAGAAAAAATTGGACGGATCTCTCACGTCCGGTGTCCGCACACAATAATCTCTCCAACAAAGCAGAGCTAGCCCAATTCATCCGGGTTAAACAAAAACAACATGCCAAGCAACAAGCCTCACTCATAGAAGAGCTGGCGATAAATATATTTGGCGTGGTAGCTCAACTTAAAATAAAACAAGATATCACAAATTAGCACTTTGGCTTTGAATGCTTTGCACAAATCTCATATTTCATACCTGCCATGTGACACTAGTTAAAAGTTAAGCGTTTTAAGGTTCTTGATCCCATATTTCATACCAGCCATCTAATCCAGGGCTTGAAAGTATAGGGTCTTAAGAAGGAAGGAGGAGAGAAGATTGGAAGAAGGGTGGGTAAAGAGATAGTTTAAGAAGAAGTTGCATTCAAAGAACAAATGCTTAGAAGTTAATGAAGCAGCAAAGCATAAGTTGCATAATGAAGCAGCTGGAAGCTGGCCCTGATGAGGATATCCCATGGAGGGCCCAGCCAATTTCTTTTTGGAAATTAAGGATAGTCTTGTATTTCAATGTTATACAAAAGATATTTACAAGAAGTCCTAACGCCAAAAAACAACTAAAAACATAGAAAGTTTACGATGAACCACATCAAAAATTGCAATGCTCCAAAGATTGCCAAAATATCAAAAATAAAAGGCAAATAATCCAAAAATAGCAGGTTGCCTAAATTCCAGAACAGCCACAAAAATCCGAGAACAGTAGTCATGTAAGAGATCTAACTATTTAGACTCGGACAGAAAAAATTACATAATTAAGGCTTTATTTGGGATGGTTTTTTACTGCTTCTTAAAGCAAATTTTTAATATAAATTTTTTAATTTTGTACTAGAAAGCTGCTTTAAGAATCAGTAAAAAAGCCGTCCCAAACTAAACTAAAAGTGTAAACATAGTAATTTACCCTCAAGTTTCCAGTGAGATATCTCTAGCCGTTCAGGGAGGGAAATTATAATTCAAAACTGAGGGACAAACCCATCGCCATTGTCCAACAGATCCAAAAGTAGCCCATCAAATACAAATCAGAAAGGAAAAAGATTTCTGATTTCATGAAGACCATTTATGTTAATCAATTTACTTCTAATAGCCTTCTTAACCAAGTAAATGAGGGCTTTTGCATTGAATGCTTTGCTCGAATCTCCCATTATCCTTTTCCCTCCATGAAAGAAAATAGTTGCAGTCACAGACAAAAGGTAAGCATTTTTAAGGTTCTCGATCCCAAATTTCTAAAATGTTTAAAGAGAAGTCACATTCATCCTTGTGAAGGTCCAGCCATTTACTCTATTAGGGACAAAATCATGTGTTTCATTGCTATAAAAGAGATTACAAGAAACCCTCAGGCCAAAATACAACTCAAAAAGGCATAAAGGTTACAATTAGGTCCGTCAAAAATTGCAGTGCTCCGAAGATCAAAATATCTGAAACAAAAGCCAAAGAATAAGAAATACAACAAATTGCCAAAATTCTAGAACAGCCAATAAAATCACACCAAATTTATCATTATATTGTTAAAAAATAAGGGATAAAAGAGTAACTCAAGGTAAATAGTTCCAGTGTTTTTTTTTTCTTTCTTTAAAATCCAGTACGTACGTAAAGCTTCTTTTAAAAGTATGATCTTTTTCTAAACTTAATTACTCAGCAAAGCCCATGATGGAGCCCCAACCTCCTCCCCCACAAAAGATGGAGTTAATGGATTTCAAATTTTGATTTTGTTTTTCTTTGAGGTCATATTTTTCTACAATTTTTTGTTTCATTATCTCAATTGTTATCTCTAAGTTATATTCTTTTTTCCAATATCAACAATACCAGCAGCTTCATTTGTACAACACACTACCAAAATTCTCCAAATAATACTGAGAGATATAGGAGATGAAATAATATGTCGAATCATTGAGTTATGAGTCCCATATATATATATATATTAAGTTAAAACCCACGGTAGGGCCTACACGTTAATATTCAAAAATCGGTTACAAGATCCTTATAAGGATCCTCCAGCTCGCTAAGCTTATGAGAGCTACAATAAAAAATCAAAATAAAACCTAAGAGCCGGTGGTTCCTTTTTCTAATAATGCAATAATACAAAAATGGAAACTCGGGCTGCAAGGCAACAGCGCCCAAAAAAAGGAAGATAAGTTTAAAGTCGTTCAGCACAATCTTCCTGCAAAAACAAAGGTCAAATTTGAAAGGGCATGGAAAAAAAACGAACAGAGAGAGCCTTGCAAACATTTAAGCTCCAGAACTCAGAAGAAATATTGATCCTGCAAAGCACACTCCAAAAAGGGATATTAGATAAGTAGTAAATAGAATGAATTATAGAGCAATCGATATAGAACCTGAAAAGAGCAATAACAGAAAGATAAGTGATATGCTCGCAAAGACCAGAGAAATCATAGCAGAAATTCTTCTTAGTAATCACCTTACTATAGACACAACCTCTCATGGATAACCCGTTAAAACTCAAGACAGATAACCTCTTAGTGGTGGCCATGCAATTATGAAAATAATTCTGCGAGCTATAAGAGAAAAAGCAAACAAAATAACCCAGCTTAAACACGCAGTAGAGACGCATATAGGGGTGTCAATTAGGGTCAGCGGGTCGAGTTCAGGTCGAACCCGGAACTGACCCGGCATTGTTCTGGTCAACCCAAACCCGACCCGTTTTTTAAAAACGGGTCAGGTTTTCGGACCCGAAACCGACTCGATTCGGGTCCGGGTCAACCCGACCCGATACCGACACGAATGACCCGAAGTTGACCTAAAATTGTTAATTTTTGGGTAAAAAATTGGGTCAATATTCGATTTTCGGGTTGAAATTGGGTCAATCTCGGGTTTTTGGGTCAAATATGAGTTTTCGTGTCACTTTCGGGTCAATTTCGGGTTGCTGGGTCAACCCGACCCGATTTTTAAAACGGGTTGATTTGTTCAACCCGAACCTGACCCGTTTCGGGTTCGGGTTGACCCGAACCTGAATTTTTTCGGATCGGGTTCGGGTCGTGTTTCGGGTCGTGTCAAAAATTGACTCCCCTAGAGGCATACCACCAAGGTTTGGCCAAAGAAACCCATCACACTAGAAATCCTCCATGAGAACACACAACAATGAATAATGACAGTTATAAATATAACACAACCAGAGCAGCAACAACAAATAAAAATGGACCAAGAACTCAAAAACAGGGAAATTAAGCATGGCGAATATAAGGTAGCCCCGTTTTATCCAGAATAATCATACCTTTAAGAGGGGAAGGCAGATTCGTCGCAGAGAGATCGTGAAAAGTGTCACTTTGGGAGCCAAATTTAGTCAGCTAGTCCGCACAGGCGTTACCTTCACGATATATATTGGAGATATTACAAGAAAGCATAGTAATCATCATCTTAATTTTCCTAATAGTATAAAAATCTTGAGGGTACCAACATTGTTCTCAGAAATCACATGAATGACAGTTTTAGAGTCGACTTCAATGTTCACATGATGGTAACCCAACCTCAAACAAAGGTCTAAACCATAACTTAAACTCAACAACTCGACAGTTAACACAGAACAAAAATTCAGAGGCCCAGAAAAAACATCCATTGGATTACCAAGATGGTTACGAATAATACCACCAATGCCAGCTGAATTAGTTCCAACATAACCATCTGTATTGAGTTTGACATAAGGAAAAATAGGTTTTAACCATTTAACAATGTCCAGCTTAACCGCAGCAGTAGTAGCAGTATTTAAGCCAAAAAAATTAGCTAACAGAGTACTGTTTGTAAAGTTTTTACAGGAAATAAGGTTAACAGAGATCAATTGTAAAACCTTATTTCTAATATTGGTAATAATCTGATTAGCATTCATCTTAATATCATCGTGTTTAGACTCATTTCTAGCTTTCCAAAGGTACCAAATAATCAGAATGGGGAGTAAGTTCTGAATATGACCCTTACCCTTCGTAAACCACATTTTAAGAATGTCATTCAAACCCCAAGTGGTATTAAAAACCCTCAGCCCAGCCAAATTATAGAAATGGGACCAAACACGACGAGCAATAGAACTGTTAACAAAAATATGATGAATGCTCTCAATATTGGAGCAACATTGACATTTAGAAACAAGAAAAAAAAACCTTTCTTCCATAATCTGATATCAAAAGGTAAAAAGCCTTTAAGGCATCTCCAGGTTAATAAAGAGTAAGATAAAGGAATCGTATTATGCCAAAGAGCTTGAAAAATGTGAGAGGTTTCCTCTTTAATTCTAATACTCTCTCAAAAAATTTTAAGACTAAAATCACCCGTAGACAAAAGTTAAAAAAGAATTTTATCTTTACTGTATAACTGTAACGGGATTTTAATAATAAAATCAATAATCTCTTGCGGGACCACCTCCTGGAGCTTAGCCATGTTCCAATCACCATTGTGAAAGAATACATTAACTTTGGTATTAGAGATTGTATGGGTGTTAAGATAATCATCTATAGAGGAAAATCCCAACCAATTTTCCTGCTACAAAGAGACCTCCCCAATACCGATCCCCCATTGAATATTCAGCTCAGCTTCCCATTTAACTTTGCAAATTATTTTCCAAACAGGGGAATTAGAGGGTTTGTAATGACACATCAGAGGATGCATTCCCTTACAATATTTGGCTTTCACAAATTTAGCCCAAAGACTAATATTAGATCTAAAAACAAATCACAATTTATGAGAAAATGCATGAACAGTATCAGTAATGGATTTGCAACCAAGAGAGCCTTCTTTATAAACCCCACACATCTTATTCCACTTAGCCCAGTTAATACAAGACTTGTTGTTAGTAGCACCCCAAAAAAACTTGTTTATCATTTTTTCCATTCTATTGCAAACATTAGAAGGAGGTTGCAACATATGAAAAATAAATATAGGAATAGAATTCAGAACACTTTTAATCAAAATCAACCTACCTCCAAAAGAAAGAAAATAATAAGACCAATGCATGAATTTCCTTTGAAAGATAGTAAAAATATTGTCCCATATATATATATATACATTTGAGTCATTTAAGTAAACACAAGCATCTACAACCATAAAGAGAAATAAACTCACAGAAGTATGGAGAAACATACTGACATAAAATATATTATATATAGTCAAATATATTACTTCATCTCTAAGATGTATCATTTTTTTTATTATTCATTTATATGCTTCGTATGAGTTGTTATGGTAATAAACATATTCAGACAGCCATATATTGTCGATTTTGTTGCAGTAATGCAATGACCGTCAAAATCCCTGTGGGTCCGATCGTAATGGTTATAGAGATTGTTCCAACACCTATAACGTTGGGTGTTATTTGGATTAATTGTGAATCAAGCAAGACAGATGAAACCATCAATAGTATTGAACAATTAGAAAATTAAAAATAAAATAGATATCGTTATTAAAAGATGTAGGTGAAATTATCTTAATGAATTGAGATTAACTGAAATGACATCCGGCAGAAAATATTGATAAACATTCGAGGGAAGACGCTCTCGACGAAAGCAAATCATTAATAGATCACCTTGATCAAACATTTTTCGCCAATGCTCATCGTCGTCAGCAAGATATTTGATCAAATGATCTAATAATGGTTCGTCTTCACAATGATTTGCTACACCATCTTCTACTACGATTTTGTTGTCATTATGATAAAGATAAGAGTTATGACTCTGCTTACTAGAAGCATGCAATGACGAAATACGTTTGAAGCATAAATTTTTTCAGCAATGACAAAGGGAGGTAGCAACGAGTGACAACAACCGAAAGTCGCCTTTTATAAATGCCATCAGTCGTTGATCCTCATTGCTCGTTATCGCTTGTTGTCACTCACCGCTATTTCCTTTTATTATTGCTAAAAAAAATTTGCTTCAAATGTATCTCATCATTGCTTCCAGTAAGCAAAGTACTAGCTCTTATCTTTATCATAGCCGCAGCAAAGCCGTTGAAGCAGATGATGCAAAAAATCATTGTGAAAATGAATCATTACTATATCATCTGATCAAATATCTTATAACGACGATGAGCATCAACAGAAGATTTTTGAGCAGCAAGGCGATCTATTAATGATTCATCTTAATCAGGAGCATTTTTCTTTAAATATCTATCAATATTTTCTGCATAATGACATTTTAGTTAACATCAACTCAATCTGCACAAGTTCTCATTATGACAGATCAGATAGATGTTATCCAGATCACGCTCTATACTCATAATATTAGCCTCCCCTGCTCTAGCACTACTTGTGACGGCCCAACCCGCACGCATGTATATGTACGAATGCATATGCATGTATCTATGTATATATATGTATGTATAAACATATATGTGCACGCACACACACGTACACTCACGCATGCACCCATTCATGCATGATCATGGACGCTTGCGAGTACAAGCATGCACGTAAGTATATGTACGTATCTGCATGTATGTATTTACACGCAAGTACGCATGCACGGACATACGTACGAATATGTAGGTACGTGTGTATGTATAACACACATTAGAATTAAAAATTATCTTAATGTAATATAATAACATAAATAATTATGAAATATTAATATTTATGAAATAAATATGAATTTCAAAATGTTCATAATATTATAATATATGGGAAATTTTAATTTGATAAAATTTTTCTATAGCTTTTAATTTGATGAAAAAAATTGCATCAATTTAACTAAGCTAAAATCTAATAACCATCTCATATATTTCTGGTGTAATTATATTTCAAGATGCTAACAAGTTCAAAAATAAAAGCAAAAGGCATTCCAAATTTATAATACAATATGGGATAAGTTTATCAAAATAAGAAATGAACATTCATTTAAATAGTCGTGGCGTTGAAAGCAGATAAACCATAAGCACATTTATTTTATTTTTATAGCAATACAATACTCTATATGATTGTGAGTGCGTTTCTCCCTCTGATGTAGATACTTATGTTTGCCTAAATGATTGTGTCTATATATAATTTGTTAAATTAATATATATAATTTATAATTATATATTTGACATTTAAAATTTTTGGCTTATCCATTTCACTCTAGCAATTGACGACATATAGCTTCTTTTCTTGTCATTTCTTCATTACTGAGTCACCAAGTGTATTGTCAAGGGTGTGGGCCTCTACTGTGAATGTTGTTTATTTTAAATTTGATGGAAGAAAGTATTTTGAGAAAAACTTGTGCCTTTCTTTTTATGGTAATTATTGTGTCAAGTAGGGGTGTCAATTCAGGTCAGTGGGTCGGGTTTGGGTCGAACCCGAAATTGATCCGACAGTGTTCGGGTCAACCCGAACCCGACCCATGTTTAAAAACGGGTCAGGTTTATGGACCCGAACCCGACCTGATTCGGGTCCGGGTCAACCCGACCCGACACGAATGACCCGAAGTTGACCTGAAATTGCTAATTTTCAGGTCAAAATCGGGTCAATATTCAATTTTCGGGTAAAAACGGGTCAATCTCGGGTTCTCGGGTCAAATATGAGTTTTAGTGTAACTTTCGAGTCAATTTCGGGTTGCTAGGTCAACCCGAACCCGACCCGTTTCGGGTTCGGGTTGACCCGAACCCAGATTTTTCCGGGTCGTGTCAAAAAGTAAAAACGGGTCAATCTCGGGTTCTCGGGTCAAATATGAGTTTTAGTGTAACTTTCGAGTCAATTTCGGGTTGCTAGGTCAACCCGAACCCGACCCGTTTCGGGTTCGGGTTGACCCGAACCCAGATTTTTCCGGGTTGGATTCGGGTCGTGTTTCGAGTCGTGTCAAAAATTGGCATCCCTAGTGTCCAGACACCGAACGAGTCCAAAGATCAATAACAGAGCTCCACGTTACCTGAGTGCTCGGTACCGAGCACTCGGTATTGCTCGGTATTCGTCCGAATTTCCTGTCTTTTGTCCGGACGTAATAACTTTTCTCTTTTTATTGACCAACCTCTTCCTGTGATTTTGATCAAATAAAACAAGCCTATTTGCTTCTCAAGATGCTACGACAAGCTTCCATTGAAAAATATGGTTATATTTAATCTTCTATCGCTGAATTTAATGCAATGTGATCATATTTTGCTGAATAGTTCTGTTATAGGTGAGAAAAAGAGATATCTATGTTTTGACTCTTTAGAAGAAGACGAAAAAAATAACACCATAATTATTATTTTTTAAATATTTAGTTGATACATTAATCATGTATGTTTTAGGTTCTTACATATACATTTTTTTTGTTTTCTTAATGATCATATACATATAAATAAGCTTATATTAATGAAAATTAGGTGTCACCCTCACATTTACAAATATAAAGAAAAAAAGTTTTTTCAGAGGTGGTCAAAGCAAAATTACCTAACATACCCAATTACAAACATTTAAATGCAAAGGTAATATAACATAATTATGAGTAATAGAATGCAATGCTCTTAATTAAAAATTAAATAAATATTAAAAATAATAACAAGTATATTCATATAAAATATATTGATCACATTAATATAAATGTAAAACTGATAAATTAATGAATTAAAAAAAAAAGAATTTGACCTCATATTTACAGAGAAGGTTTGATTAAAAGCCCTGCATTGTAATGTTTAATAACCTAACATAATCTAGAACCAAATGATTAAATAAATTAAATTGTGACAGCTTGAATTATAAATCACATATATTGAATAATGTGTAATAAGTTGTAATGTTTATTTCTTTCTTTTGCAGGCAGGGTGCAGTTCCTCAAATACAGTATCACCAATACTATCGCTTACTGGATTAGAGGCTCTATCTTACCTAAATCAGTTTGTGCCACCATTAATAAACTCTGTTCCAGATTTCTTTTTCATAGCAATGTTCATGAAAAGAAACTTCACCTCATAGCGTGGTCTAAAGTCACTCTTCCTAAATGCTTTGGGGGTCTTGGCATTCCTTTGGTCGATACTCTTTATCATGGTGTTTTCTGCTCC